AGCACAAATGAGGCGTCCCAAGATGCCGTGGCGGGGCCAGAAGGACTACTAGGAACTCTTCTGACCGACCAAGGAGGAGGACGTTTGGGCCCAGCGCAGGGCATGTGCGGGGCATGTGCAGATGCAGGTGACTGGGAAGTGCTAGCAGGAGAGGGCAGTGTGGTGAGGGGCAGGGCAAGGTGCCCTGTGGGTCATTCTGATGCACCTGGAGCTGGTCCTGGGGGGACAGAGGCAGCTGGGCGGGAGTGCCTTCCCCATCGAGGTCGGGGAAGACCTTTCTCGGTGCTGTGTGAATGGTGGTTAGAAGTAGTCAAGACTCAAAGCAGACGAACTAATCAGGGCCTCCTCTGAGACTTCGAAACACTGTTAAATGGCTGTAAAATAATGTCTGGACAGTTTTCATTCCCAGCAAGTCGAAGGAGGAATAATAAGAATTGTGAGGTTTTACAGGTTCATATCATCAAAAGCCTGGAGCTGAGCATTGCAAATGAAGGATTATGATAAATTAAAGTATCAGTTTCCTTTTTTTTTTTTTTTAAATTCCAAAAGTAGTCTTGCCAGTTCTTTACAGAATCATCTCATACAGAGCCAGAAATTGTTCTAAGCTGGAGTGGTCTGTCCTCCGAATTGTTTCCGTGTTCCAAACATACATGTGCTGTGCAGAGTGTCTAATTATTCTTGGGGACAATTACTGTCAGGTTCCAAAATGTGTTCAGTGAGCAGCAATTGGTGTTTATTCAGTTCTAAAAAGACTATGGGAACAGTAGGTTATATTGTCTGCTTAAAGAAACGTTTGCCACCCGGAAACATCTGCTTTCTATTTAAAGCACCAAAGAGGGAATGGGAATGATTTGAAATAGACTCCCTGAGCCTCGAACACCAAAAAGAGGAGCATAAATTGGGTACGGAGGTGGTTTCTGGCCTCTGACACACACTCCCTTCAGTTTTTCCCTGCTGGGAAGGAAAGGCGACCCGCTGGGTTTGAAAGTTCTGCTTCTCTTGGATTTTTCTATTTATACTGATTTGCACGCTTTGGGGAACTGACTTCTGTGTCCTAGTTCCAGCTCTTTTACTTTCTCAGGTGAGGCCAGATGCTCTCTGAGTTGGGGTATGCTTTTCTGAATTCTGCGGTGAGGTTTGTAGAGTGTTCTAATTTCGCCCATAAAGATGTAAGGGTTTGTTGTCCAGGGAGCCTGAAATCGCTATGACCCTCGGTTTTCTATGTGGATGATGCCACCCGCTCACAGTCCTGCTTGGAGGCCTAAGTGAGAATATACACAATGTGCTTGGTTTATAGTGAACTTCTATGAAGGTCAGCACTTCAGTTATCTATTTCTGGTTAATAAACTGCCACAAACTTAGCAGCTGAAAATAAAACACATTTCCCTGGCTCAGGAGACTCACTGGGTCCTCGGCTTCAGATGTCACCAAGGTGTTAGCCAGGGCTGGGGTCTCCCCTGAAGGCTCAGCTGTGGGAGGATCCACAGCTTTCCAAGCGATAGTTGGCAGAATTCCAGTTCCTTGAGGGGAGTTGGACCAAGGGCCTCAGTTCCTCTCCAGCTGTTGGCTGGAGGCCACCCTCTGTTCCTGCCGTATAGGCCTCCCCACCATGGCAACTTGCTTCATCAAAGCCAGGAAGAGAGACAGTCAGTCAGGGGACTTTACTAGCCAGACAGAAGTAACCTGCTCACACAAATGACAACCTTTGCCATACTCTGTTGGTTAAAAGCAAGTCACAGGTCCCACCCCTGCTCAGAGGGAGGGTGGTTACACGGGGCATGAGCACCAGGAGGTGGGATCGTTGGGAGACACATCAGAAGCTGCCAAGTATAGACACTGTCGTTTTAGGGAGAGAATATAGCATAATGGTTAAGAGGGAGGATGTCTTTGTCACTTAGCACTGCCTTCAAAGCTCAGATCTGCAGCCTGCCACTTACCATGTAGCCCAGGGCAGGCCCTTGGCCTCTCTGAGCCCATTTCCCCACCTGCATGGCACCTCCCCATAGGAGTGTGGTAATCCTAAGTGAGCACGTGGACAGCCTGGCCGAATGATCAGTAGCCAGTAAATTAGCTACAGGCTTTCTTTTTGTCATTGTCTATTTGGGGCATTTTCTTTAAATACCATTAGGTTTTTGAATTTTAGAAGAATAACATAGAACACTCTGCTGACCTCAGACTTGGTTATTCATGCGCAAATGTCAGTCATACGAGTAGCTTCCTGGGCACAGAGCTGCTGCCAGACTGGCTGTGCTGGTCCTCCCTGGCTGCCCAGGCCTCAGGACACTTGTCTTTGGCCTCAGGAGGGCGGAGGCTCCTCCCATGGCACCCTTCCTCTCAGTGGGGCTGGCGGGAGTCCCTGCAGCTCCTCACCCAGGTCTCGGTGCCTCTCCCCAGGCTGGAGCAGCCACTCAGCCACTGCAGAGGCCTCACTGCGGTGACCAGGGCTGCAGCCACCAAAGGTGTGGCCAGCTGAGTCCACAGTGTTCCCAACAAATCGCGTTTCTGGTTGGGGTCCCGAAGGCAGCCACAGTGGCTTTGGTCCATCCCCAGACCCGAGCGGGCAGATTTGGAGCCGGGCCCTTGTCGTCCGCATGCACGCCTTGACCTGACCGTGGCAAGAAGGCGACTCACTGCCTTGGCTTGTCCCAGATCAGAAGGCTCTGCCACCTTCTCTTGTCTCCCTGCCCTTCCTCCTCCGTCTCTCTCCGCTTTCCTTTCCTCACGTTCTCAGTCCCGTTGGGTGCAGGGACATAGATGCTTATAGAAAGTCACTGCTTGGCCACCACAGCTGTCCCCTTTCCTAACCAGAGCACCTCTGCCTCCCGTGGCCCGTGCCCACATCTTTTGCACCCGAAGATCCTGTTATTGGTCCCACTATTGGCCCTTGCGGGATGTGGGAGGACGTTCGGGAGTCACTCTATGTCATTCACAGTCAGCTGTGCCATTCTAGAGGACTGATGCCGGCGGTAGCGATCACTTCTTCCATTTTTTCCTAGATCGCTTGATAATGTCTCACGTGGGCATCGCCCCAGCTTCCTTGAGGATAAAAATCACCCAGAGCTTTTGTGAGTAACAGAGCTACCCAGGCCCCTCTCCTGGAGAGCCAGGGTCCCGGCTGCTAGTCTGGGCCGGAGGACTTGCATTTTTAATTGAAGTGCCAGCTAATTGCTATCAAAGATCTCAGGATGCTCAAACCTAGACCCTGTCCATCTTCCTTGGTGTGGAGGACACGAGGAAAGGTCTGAAAGTGAGCCCCTCCCCAGGAAGGATGCTGCCCTGACCAAGGGAAGCAGGGATGTTAGCGTGATTCGATGCTTAAAAACCTCTTTGGTGTTACTGCCCTTTCTGTCACTCCCTCCTCTCACACATGCGGAGACCACGGTGTGAGCAAGTGTTTTCCTCTGCGGTGCTGTGCTGCGGCGATTAGCAGAATACGGTGCCTGGGCTGGCTGCAGCACAGCTGGGGATCCAGCTGTGAGATTGCCCGTGGGGGCTTGCTCAGGGGGGCTTTGTATTCGTGTGCACGTCCGCTCTCCACAGGCTGCTCTCCTGACAACAGATGCAGGAAATTAAGGGGACAATATTCCTTTTGTTTCTTGAGCTGTCACCCTGTTGCTGGAAGATGTCAGTTTAGGACTGAGTAGGCGGTGAACTCGGTCACTATTAAAGGAAGAGAAACATCCTAGTAATTAACACCTCCAGCAGCACTTGTCCTGCTCCCCAGATCTAGAAGGAAAGATCCGGGGGCCAGGAATGCTGGTCTCTGTGCATTCTTCTGGAAAGCCGGCCTCTGGAAATAGCTGCATTGAGGTGGCGTGAATAGCCTGCTCTTGGCTTTATTCATTTGGACAAATAGTCATGAAAAAGGCTTCTGCAACCTGAGTCGATGGGTGATGCTGGTATTCATGGTGTTGCTGAGAATCCCTTGTGTAGTGCTTTTCCAGGAAGAAGTTTCTCTCTTTAGAAAGAGCTTCCTTCCCAGGAATGAGCCGTCTGTAGTCGGGATGGGTTCAAAGACCGCTTTGTCTAAAACCGCTTCATTTAGGGGCCAGAACACTTAGAATTCACATTTCCCTTTTGATTTTTTTTTTGTCTCCACTTGAGTGTCCTAGTCTTTCATGTCATTGCTTTTGACATTGTAAGGATTTTTAAAAATTAGTTTGTCTTGGTTACCTTTTGATTTAATTTTTATCTTTAATAAGTGCTTGTTAAATCTGTAGAATTTTTATGAATGATGGGGTGATTTTTACATTGCGGTCGCTTCCTCCCACCCCACCCATTTTATCTTATTTTGAACACTTTAAAAGATTTTGAGCCAGTTTGCCTGAAGACCCTTTCCCCCAAAATAAGTATTTTGAAATGAGTCTGTTTCATTTTGTGTTACTTTGTGCAATAGATACCTTAAAATATGAAATGCAGTGAAATCCATTACCATTTTTATTCATCTGCTTTATCTCTTAATGCTCAATTGTCAAAATCTAATTCCCCACTCAACAGAAACATAGATGATGTGCTAACTTGATTAATAATCACATTAAGAATTTTTAAGCACGTGGAGTGAAATAGCAACAATACAGATGCAAGAATAGCAAAAGAGATAGCTTTGATGAATTTTACATAAAACTCAACAGGTTTATACGTTGGAAACATAAAACTTTAAAGCTTGGTCAATTATGAATGAATGCATCATTCATAAAATGCTGTGAATTTGAGAAATACTTAATGGAAATATAATAGGAAGTTGTAAATGGTTTGCAAAATCCTGAAATTATTGCGGCATCTCCCAAAACGAATTTGTTGCAAAACTCTGAAAATGCCAACAGGACGTCAGAAAAAGAAGAGGACACTTCACAGGATGCAAAAACTCAGCGAAGGGGTTGTTTTAAGCAAATTGCTTATTAGTCCAGTTGCTCCACAGCCTCAGGGTGTTGGGTTCCAGTAACTACCCCGCTGGCTTCTCTTTTTCTCCTCTCTTTGCTTTTCTTATTTTAATCGTCCTCATGCAAACGTATCTTCCCCTTTAAGCCATTAACATCTTTGGGGGCAGTAGGTGGCTTAGAAACCGTAAATTATACATAAAGTCACGTTCCACCGACTCACACAGCGTCGTCTGTCTTCCAGGGAACAGCCTGTCTTCACCACCCGGGCGCACGTCTTCCAGATCGACCCCAGCACGAAGAAGAACTGGGTGCCTGCGAGCAAGCAGGCGGTCACCGTTTCCTACTTCTACGATGTCACCAGGAACAGCTATCGGATCATCAGTGTGGATGGAGCCAAGGTACCACCCCACCTGCCGCTTTGGACATTCCCAGCCATTTATTTTGCATCTAAAGCAATTGAATATGTTTGAAGAGTGGAGGGGAAAGAAGCACCCCACATCCTGCTGCCTTAACACGGATGTCATTATTATAATGTCCGTGAACTCACACATCCTGCTTTTTTTTTTTTTTTCCATTTAAAATTATGGCAAATGGGGAAAAAAAAAATTCCCTGTTACCACATTGTTTTTATAGCTAGTATTTCAATGCCTGTGTAATAATCCCACCAAGGCCCTATAATGTTCTCATCTTTCCCTTCAGGATTTTTTTAGTATTATATATAATGAGCATCTTCGAGCAGCAGCTACCCTCATTTGATCATCACACACCTATTGCTTTCTCTTGGATATTTCCTTAGGTTAGATTCCTGGAAGTAATATGCTGGGTCAAGACATTACCATTTTAGGGCTCTTGATGGATATTGCCAAATTGCTTTCCAAAGAGGTCTTTCTTCCCATGTGTCTGAAAATGCCAGCAGTGGGTATTATAGCTAGTCTGGTTTTGGTGTTATTAGGCAGGGGAATTGAATTTTAGTGGATGGTTTTGGAGTATTTCTTCAAATAATTTTTCCGTAGTATTTTCACTATACTACTGCCTTCCTCGATATTTTTTGCCACGTTATTATGGGAGTGGAATAAAAAAGAGGTATCGATAGAAGTATCACCAGGTTTGCAAAAGAAAAAAAAAGTTGACTTGATACTTTATCATTTGTTTCTGTTTTTAAACTGTATTTATCCTGCTGGATATATTTACATGGATTATCTGCTGTCCGGTGAAATTCAAAGTATCTGAAGCTGAATTCCCTATTTCTCTTCAAAACCACCTCTTTATTTTCATTTTCCAATCACCTGGGCTAAAAAGAGAGAGAGAGAGATGGCATAGAGTGAGTTCTTTTTTAGTTGGTCAGTGGAATCTGTATTTGGTGTCTCACATTCATGCCTAATGTTTTGTTTCAAAACCATAACTCCATAACTTTTGTCCTGGCACAGTCGTGCTAAGACTAGACTTCTGAATGGCCTCCTCACCCACCTGCAGTCTGCCCTGCCCCCTGCCCTAGGTCAGCGCTTCTGGGCAGTCGGAAGCAGGGGAGCTGGGGTCTGGGTAATAGAATCGGGCCTGCTTATTGGTTTCCCCCTCCACAAGCCCAAGCCATGAGGCAGAAGGCTCGGAAGCCTCTGTTGGAGAACCCCCAGAAAAGGTGTGAGAGCCCGCTGGTGCTGTCTCCAGATCTCTGGACAAGGTGCCCTGTTCTAAGGCCAGACTCTCCTCGGCCTGTGTTCTCTAAGCATGTCCTCATATGTGCTCACAGCATCATGGATCCATGTGCTCACAGCGTCATGGATCCTGCAGACAGAGGTGGCTTGGCCCCGTGAGCCTCTGTTTCTTCCTTCCAGTTGCCACAGCCCTTCCTCCTACTCGGGGCGGGAGCCCAGAGTCCTCATTTTACAGCCGAGGTCAAGGAGAGGCAGTGACCTGGCCTGGCAGCTGGCGCTTGCTCCCAATTCATCGGACGCCAGCTCCCAGCCCTTTGGGTTGGAGCAGGCTTCCCTGGCTGCTGGAGGAGCACGCCCTGATGCCACGTCGTGCAGGCATGGTGTTCAGGTTGAATGGCTGGTCTGGCCAACACGTTAAACAGATGCAAGAACTGGTTTTCTATCTAAGCAGGCAGGGTGGTAAGACACGGGTTGTTGTGAAGGAGTCGTGCTCCAGTAACAAACTGCTTGTGTGGAAGGGACTTAGAGGTTGTCGTGAGCAAAGGCACCACAACCTCAGCTGCTGAGTCAACTGTGGGCAGCCCGCAGAGCACAGGCTCTGTGACGGGAGGAGGTGCAGCCAGCAGCGTTAGCAGCTGTCATTCCACACAAGGCACGGCAAGCTCCTCTGCCCCGTCCAACCATTTGGCACATTTACTTGGGGAAGGACGCGTGGAAGGCCTCTCCTTCTCCTGAGAGCAGTCTGTGCCTGCTCGTCACAGAACGAATCTGTGCTTGTCTCAATTCTTCATCCTTCCTAAAACATTGAGACGTTTCCCCTTTGCAGAGAAAATACTTCACATGTCAGTCCCAGCTGCTGCTAAAGACACAGGCGGGCGGGAATACTATAGTGCGTCACCTGGTGTTGCCTGACCTGTAAGGAGTTGTGTGGATCCCTTTCTGTGCATGGGGCCCCCCAGAGACCGCATTCCTCGAGGACTGGGGACCAGGCCTGGCTTGCCTTTGGAGTTCCAGCATCGAGCCAGAGTGGGCAACGCCGTGTGAGCGGGTGATGAGGTCAGGCCTGGCCGCATGCTCTCCAGGCCTGCGGCGGGTGTGCCGTGTCTATAGAATGACAGTGGGCAAAGGTGGGATCACCGCCAAGAGGGAACCAGGATCAGAACCTCAGAATGGCACCAGGGTCGGCCCTGCACGTGGACAGACGGGAGCCATATGAGGGCATCTCGCAAGCCCAGCTTCCCGGGCCTTCTGTGTGAGCCATCCCAGCACCAACAGCCACACACCAACAGCTATGTGATTTGTGGCGAGTTTGGGGCGGAACTGCCAGCTCCATCGCAGAGGACTCCGTGTCCGGAGCATCTGCTAAGTGAGCCATTGCAGCACTTTGGTTTCCTTGTGCCCTTACTGACCGAGGTGATCGTTAGCACCCTTGGGAGAAACTGCCCGTACCCGTGGACAAGACGTGCTGGGAGCTGGCGTTCCTCCCAGTGTCCCCGATGTTCTCAGTCATTTACAGGGTCACGGACACCAATTCTGGAAGAGACCATGGAGATCATCCATTCCATGGTCATTTAGCAGCACCCGCTTTGTGGCCAGCACTGCCTGAGCGTGACCATAGAAGGACGTAAGCCTCTGAAACCTGGCTCATTTGGTGCTTCCTTCAGGGAACGTGACATTGCTTTCAAGAACACGGTCATGGTCCCCTCCTCCACACGTCTCTGGTGATCTTTTGCATAAACAGAGGCACTTTCTCTTCAGGGGCCAGCATATGGAAGGTTCTTAGCACACAGTAGGTTTTCAGTGAATGCTGGTTTCTTTCCTTCCCTGACTGTGGTGAAAGGCAAAGGGAAAAAGCACCCATCAACACCATTCTGGGAGCCGGCCGCGTGTCTCTTAATCGCTGTGACTCAGCGGCTTGTGAAAAACGTCCATCTCCCTGGACTTGGGACGACTTTCTGTGGAGAGGGGAATCCAGGGGCCTGTCTCCCAGTGCGTGACACGCAGCTTCCTCGAAGTCCGGAGCAGGACGGAGACTGGAGGAGCTCAGCTCTTGCTTCTTCCAAGTAGCTCTTGTTACGTATGTTCTGTGCATTTCCCAGTGATGTGCAGGAACCAGGTCTTCCACTGGGGAGTCTTCTTTTCCTCTCCGAAGTTTCAGAAACAGCGCAGGACAGAGGAAGGGGTGCGAGGGCCGGGGGAGCCCACCTCAAAGCTTTATATGAAGCACCCTGCCAGCTTCACCTTCTCCCCCACCCTCACCTTCCCCACTCCCTAGGAAGGCAGCAGTTCTCACCCACAGCGTGTCCCCGACACCCAGGACCTCATCCTCCCGTGTTCCCTCCTGACCGTCCCTCCTGGTGGCCTTCACTCTTTTTCCTGCTGTTTGTCACTGTCTCAAGTCGGCCTCTACCAAAGCCTCTTCTCTTGTCCCTCTGTCCCCTCCTGCTGTATGACATCCTCCACTCCTGGGACCCCATACACTGCTGAGCCCCCCCTCTTTCCTGAGTCCAGAACCCACAGTTCCAGCCACTACTTCTGTCCCCCACACAGTTCCCGGTGCCCAGTGTGAGGTCACCAGCCCCCTTTTCTCCAGCCAGGGCTCACCAGGAAGATCCGCCCCCTGACAACTTTGTTTTAGTTTTGTGTACTTTATGTTTAACTGTTTGTACCGTTTAATGTCTGATAATAAAGCGGGCACTCATGTACCCGCCACCCAACTGAGGAAGCTCATCCTTTACTAGACCTTCAGGGTCCCTTTCTGGGCCTCTCACAACATCTAAATGCTCCTCCCATCCTCCCCTCAAGAGGTTACCCCTCTCTTGAAATTTGCATTTAGCATCTCCTTACTTTTCTTTATAGTTTTGCCACCTGTATCTATGTCCCTAAACCAGAGGTTGGCAAACATTTCCTCTAAAGGGCCTGATAGTAATTTCCCTTTATGAGCCATACAGTCTCTGTGGCAACCATTCAGCTTTTTCTCTTGTAGGGAGGACACAGCTATAGACCAATATGCAAAAGAATGGCTGTGGCTGTGTGCCAATAAAACTTTATTTAGAAAAGCAGACTGCGGGTGGATTTGGCCGGAGGGCTATACTAGTTTGTTGACCCTTGCCCTAAATAGTATATTGTTTAGTTTTGTGAAGTTTGAGCTTTTATATAAGTAGAATGATACTGGAAACCCATACTGTATGTTGTCTTTTGTGACTTTTTATTTTTCTGCTGTGTGTTGTGTTTCTATTTCATCCATGTCGATGCCCGTACCCTGAGTTACTTTCCCTGCTGGGTGTATTTCATTGTATGAATGGACCGCAGCTGGTCCATTCTGCTGGTGGTGGGCATTGTTTTTTGCAGACACTGGAGCTGTGAACATTTTCCATTTCTCCTGGTTCCCCTACGCAAAGCTTTCTCTCGGGTTACACTTAAGACCAAGATTGCGGGGTGGCAGAGAACGTGCATCTTTAACGTTAGCAGAGCAAGCCGTATTGTTCTTCAAAGTGGTTTTGCCAGCCTGTGAGCTCCCATTGCCCTGCATCCTCGCCCCACCCGCAGCATTGTCAGACATGTGTTGGGTTCCATGAGTATGTAATGGAAATGGTAATGCAGTTTCCACATTAGCAGTGAGATTGAGTTTATAACTTATGTTCATGAAACCCAGGCGACCTCATGCTGGCCAGTCTCACAAAAGAGGGGTCCATTCACCTGTCCAGAGCTAAGCCTCCCTCAGATACTGTCTCCTCACCACCACCCCCCATCGCCATGTCCCTACTTCCCACACGCCTGCATGGGGCACTCACCACGCAGACCCAGAGCAGACAGAAGGCCTTTTCACATGCGGCCGCTTTCTCTCACACCTTTATTCAGGCCTAGGAGGGTGAAGGTTAGAAATGAGTTAGAGCCTCCAAGAGAAACAGAAGCATTTTCCACACGCAAGGGCAGTTGTCCCCAGAAATAACTTGGGGATGCGAGAGGGCCATACGCAGATGGAGTGTATCCTTAGAAGCTTCTCGAAAAGCCAAGCTTCTCGAAAAGCCCAGCTTCTCGGGAGGACTTAGTCCTGGTGGGCCGAGCCAAGTGCAGCACGGATGGAGCTCCCTCACCAGTGGGAAATGAAGGGAGAAGCTCCGCTTGACCATTTGGGACAGCATGATTGCTCCGCTGTCAGTCTCGCTGCTGTTGAGAAGGTCAGTGCACTGGGTTCCCTGGGAGAGCAGCCAGCTGGTTGTCTCAGTAATTGTAGTGATGGGCTTCATGTTAGGGCCTTGAAGACTGTTCCTGTGAGCCACCTTTGGTGAGTGTAGCAATGTAAAGGGTCAGGGAGAAGTAGAGGATGGCTTTCCTCCCCCTTTCTTCTCCCTTCTCCCCCTTCTTCCCCCCATCTGGATCTAGGAAGCTCCAAAAGTCTCAGAGCCTTTGGTAAGCTGCTAGGAGACGGCCAGGGCACTGCAGAGCCTGCAGGAACAGTCCGAGGGATTGTAAGAGCTGGTGAAGGGTGAAGGGGCAAGGGGCGGGCTTTCCTTTATCTTCTCGGCTAACCTCCAGCTGTGCGATTCTGTAGGTTGTGTTTCTTACGTGCCTGGGTGCCTTGATGCTGGTGACAGAGTCAGAGGTAGCTGTGCTGAACCAAGATCTAAGCAATCCACCCCACAAAGAGCAGGCATCCCAGTAAGGAATGGGGCGAAGGGCAGAGGCGCTCTCATTACAAAATTCTTAGGAATAGTTCCTGCAAGACTAGCAATTTTTGTCCCAGGAGTGACTAGACCTTTTGTTTGCAATGGGTCTGCTGGGGTGCATGCCCAGTGCAGCTGTGTGGGTAGGAGGGACTTCTTGGCAGTGGGAGTGAGGAGATGGGACCTAGGGGACCGAGGGAGGCTTAGTTTTCATTTTATATATGATGAACTCTCTTCTGCTACTTGCCAGCTCCATTTCGCCTCCTGCGATACCTGTTAGCCTTGTTGTGAGGTTTATGCGAGCTGATGATACAAGCAAAGCACTCAAGAAGTGCTCGATAAATACTAGTTGCTGCTATTAATATTAACTTATACCAATTGTTTTACCAACTAGACTAAGGTTTATTCTTGAGCTAGTGCCTCGTTAGCAAAGTCAGTAGACTCTTGCATATATACATTACAATGACACTTCTGTTACTAGTGACAACTCTGACTGTCCTGATCTCCTTGTTAGCCAAGGCAAAAATCTATGTCCTGAAGTTCTTTTAGCAAAATGAAGTTCCTACCAGGGAAAGCAAGACTGTGCTGTTTAAAAGACCTTTTTCTCTTCCCTATTTCTTCAGAAGAAAAGTTCTGAGTTTACTCTTGAGAATAAATATAGCCTTAATAAGTAAAACTGATGGTGGATTCGCTCCTTAGAATATTTACTCAGATGGCTACTGTTCCTGCTCAGATAATGAAAAACCAGTTGATGAGGAAGTAACCAGTGACTTAGTCCATTAGCGAACATCCAAGAAGACCTCATTTCCAAGGCATTTTTCTGGAGTGTTTTTTAGAGTCTTAGAGCTCCTAAGGATTTCTGCCAGAGGAAGCCTGTTGTGGATACTTTATAACACATCAGTTGTTTGGTGACTGTTTATTTACCTGTCTCTACCCTCTTTCTGACTACCTGCAACTTGAGGACCAGGGATCTGGACTTGTTCATCTTTGTGCCTTTGGCTGGCAGAGTGCCTGGCGTGCAGGAAGTGCTCGGTGAATGCTCGCTGAAGGGACAGATGCAGCGAGTGCCGGGTATCGTCCTCTCACCTCTCCAGATTCACTGTCCACCGTCCCTCACCCTGCTCTGGGCCCTGCGAGGCTGACCTGCGGATTGCATCCCTGGGCTTCCCGGGGCCTCTGGCTCCCGGTTGGGTCTGACCAATGGCAGGTCGCAGGGAGAGAGGCAAGCGTATTTGTTCTGCTGGCTCCCCTCCTCAGAAGCCATGTGCTGGCGTGTCCTCCAACCAAAGGTCACCTCTCGTCATAGCAGTCTGCTCTCCATGACTTTCTCCTCCACGTTGTAGCCTTTTCATTCCCTCGTCCTTTTAGACCAAGGGAAGGTGACACCCAGCACCAGGTCCCTGCCAGTTTCGCTTCACCCAACTCACGCCTGTGTCGTAATCTGCTTCTGGAGACTTAAAGTCGTTTGGGCTGGACACTGGGGCCTGAAGTTCTTTAGAGAGTGTGTAACGTGGCTGGCTATTAAGGGCAACTGGGTGCCTGGCAGCTTTGGGGAAGTAAATAGCAGTTTTGGACACTGCATTTAGAGACTTTCTCCCACTGATAACTTAAGATCTTAGTTTAAACTGACTGCTTTTAAGTCTCTAACGTTGCCTCTCATCATGGTTGTGTATTTGACTCGGGATGGGAGGTGCCAAAAGAGGAAGACGTCAGGGCAGATGTGGCAGAGCGGGGTGCCTGCCATCAGCGTTAGGTCCTGGCTTTGCCGACAGGAGATCGTGTAAGCAGCCTCTGTGGTGCCTGATTCAGTGTTTACATTTCTGCTCTCTGGGCTGTTTTCCTGCAGGTGATTATAAACAGCACGATCACACCCAACATGACTTTCACCAAAACGTCGCAGAAGTTTGGGCAGTGGGCCGACAGCAGGGCCAACACGGTATTTGGCTTGGGGTTTTCGTCGGAGCAGCAGCTGACAAAGGTAACGTGGCCCCCTCCACAGTGTGGCACATGCCGTGTTGGAGGTCGTTGTCATTGGTCGTCGCTGGTGGGGGGATGGAGCGGTGTCTTTGGGGAGCAGAGTTCCTCTCTGCCTTCAATGTCGCCCTTTCTGCTGGGCTGCCAACCTGGACGAGCTTTTAGAAATACCAGGTTCCTTGAAAATGGAGGTGTCGTTGGAGGAAGGAAAACATATCTGACAAATGCTGCTTCAGAGCCTGAGGTTGCAGCATCTGGAAGCAGCTCAGCTAGTCATTCCTTCCTCATGTGTCGGCCTCTGCTCTCACTAACGTTGTTGACCTCCTGGTCGGAGCCCTTAGAGCGAGGAAGTAAGGTGACACTTAATAGCAGTTCCTAACCTGGAGTCCCCACACCCTTAGTGATGTCACAGTGTTGTGTGTATGTTGCTTTTTTCCTAGGGAGAGGGTTCATAGCTTTCATCCGATTCTCCAAGGGGTCTGGGACACACTCTGTGGGTGGTCAGGGAGGTGTCAGGAGCACATCACGACTAACCACAGACTCAGTGACCCCAGGATCTGAGGGGACAAACCGATGGCCTCTGAGAGCCCTCCCCCACCCAGTGGAAGGAGCTGAGAGCTTGTTTTCGGAAAACAGGTTTTCTTTAAGGGGGTGGGAGAGTCCTGTGTAGTTATTAAGAATGTGTTAGTTGAAAGTGAGACTGGCTGGTTTGCGTGACACGGGAACGTTTTGGAAGAATGTCAGTATCTCGAGAAATCCAAAGGAGAGTTGACAATCCAGGCCTTGGGAAGGGTGGGGTGATGCTGCATTTTGAAATGAGGAAGAACAAGCACTATGAGGATTAGAGAGAATTTACAAGAAGTAGAAGCAGATATGATGGTGATTTCTTGAAAGAATGACACTAGAACCTCTGTCTGAAGTGGGCCATGAGGATTGCCTGCCCTTTCATCCTGAATCAGTGCCTGATGGGGGAAAAAGGGGCTGACATCCCCTCCCTGCCGAGTGGCCCCTTGTAACACCTGTCTCATGTCCAGATGATGCAGTTGAAGCTTCTAATTGCTGGGAAGGGTGAGATGGGAGGCTTCTGTCAGAGACACAGGGCTGGTCCCGCCCAAGGCTGGAGGTCACAGACACCCAGGGCGGTCGTAGAGAATCACTCCCGGCTTCTTGGAACAATTTATTCAGTCTTTGGAGGAATCACAGGAGCTCCGAAGGATAAAGGGGGAAAGATTCAATGAAAAGAATCAAAAGAAGGAAGAACTCGAAACAAAAATCAGGAAAGTCATTCAAGCTCGGTTCTTTGTGCCTCTGAGAACTGGCAAGACCTTGAGCTGCACCTGCTTCCAAGCCTGGCCCCTTCTCACTTCTCCCAGACAGAAGAAAATGTCCTTTCATTAAGAAGGAGTACCCCGTCTTCCTGAGCGCTGGTGTCCTTGCTCTGTGACTGGGGCCTGCCATTGTCACAAAGACTTATCAGACAAGTACTCAGATGTCTCCTTTGTTCAAAAGTTTCAAATCAATTTTTCCCTTCTCTTTAAAGAAAAGGATTAACCACACGTTGATAAATTACCGAGAAGCGAGGCTGGCATTTTCAACAAGCTAGCAAAGAGGAACTTAGGCCTGAAGGGTTCCCAAGGCATGTTGCTGAGCAGACATTCCCGACTCCATAGAGCAACTTGCCCCCCAGACCTGAAAGGGGACTTGGTAATCAAACACCACGAGGAGGCTAGAGACAGGGGAGCCAGTGTGGGTATTCTCATTTAAGAGCAGTTTATGCACGCTTCTCTCTTCACCCCCCGGAAGGAGAAGACATACCTTGATCTTCACTGCTTCCCTTATGAGGACCACTTTACATCACAACCGACAAAGTATTACAGGGACACTCTGCTCTTCAGATGGGCTTTCCGAAAATAAGACAGGCTCTCGTTTGTGGCAGACAGAGGGTGGGGCTGCGAGGACTCTGTGACTGACCCATTCAAACCCTGACGTGCACGTGGCATTTGCTTTCGACTCATTTCAGTTATTTCATATGTAATACAAATTTGTACCCTTATGTTCCCTTGATAACTCAGTGTGGTCCTGGAACATTGACCTGTCTCATACCTTTGTGTCTCCTGATCTGAGGGCCAATTTTTTTTCTAAAAAGAGATAGTAATCATTCTTTTGACATGTTTTAGTTAGAATGCATTTGGCTGCAAGTAACAGAGAACCTATCACAGTGCTTAAGTAGATAGTCATTCCTTCCACACAGAAGGGAAGTTCAGAGGTAGACGGTTGCCAGCATTGGCTTGGTGGCTCTGTGATGTTGGGTCCGAGGGTTCTGTGTGTTCTGTTTGTTTTTCCTTTCATTGGCCATTCCCTCATGGTGATGAGATGGCTTCTCAAGCTCCGTCCATCACATCCGCATTCATGGCAAGAGGGAGGAAGCAGAAGGCTGATACCACAACAGCTTCCCTGTAAACTCCCTTAGCAGACTTCTTCTTGGGTCCCATTGTCAGCCTTGGGTCCCTAGGCCGCCCTCCCACTCCCCCAGGAAAACAAACAAAAAAAGCAGGGAATTGGGTTGCCGTGTTCAGCTTCGACTGGTTTTCATTCTCTACCACCTAGGAAATTCCCTGTTCCAGCCAAGTCGAGAATCTGTTAAGCCAAGGAGAAAAAAGAAATGGACTTTGAATAAGCAACTAGGTAGTGTCTGCCACCGAGTCTTCAATGGCCAAGGCCAGAAAAGGCCACAAATAAAATAATAGTTTTTCTTTTTCTATGATAATAATGAGGATGAGGATGATGACTTTATTTAAATTTGATTAAAATTATTGCCACTGCAGAATATGATCCTAACAAGTCAAGAAAGAGGATTTTGGTATACATTTCAGAAACCTTGTAGTTTGAATATCCTTGGATTCACAAGTTTCATTTATAGGGATCTTTTCTAAGGAAATAATTGTAACAGTACAGAGCCTTGGCTGTAAGGATTTTCCTAGCAGCATCATTTGTAGCAATAAAAACAAAAACAGCAACAAAAGCCGAGCCTAAATGTCCAGCAGTAGGAAATTAAATAAACTCCGGTCCATCCTTCACGGTAATACTGTACAGAAATTCAGATGATATAATGGAAGATCATATAATTGCATGGAAATATTAATGTCGTATCATTCATCTCAGAAGTAGCTATAATATGACATATACAGTATCATTCCATTTTTAAAAAGAAATATGTGTAATGGACACAGATACAGACAGAAAAATGTCAAAAGTTTATGTGGTTAGTGTTTATCTCTGAGTGATGATGAGACTATAGGTTTAGAAACATTTTTTCTAAACCATACTTTCTAAATTGATAGGCATATGTGCTTTTTTATAATGGGAGAGTGAGTATAATAAAACTTATGACTTGGAGGGAGGGGTGTTTTAGCAAAGGACAGTCACCTGGCACCTCTGTGACTAGCGCTTCTCCTCTAAGAGGTGGAGGCTGGGAAGGGGACATACTTGCAAGGAGTCTGGTTTGCTTCCAGTTTTTCCTTATTGCAGATAACGCTAGGTCTTTCTAATATAGTGGAGGCCTTTTTTTTTTTTTTTTCGTATTCTCAATTATTTTTGTAGAATAGTTTCCCAGAAGTGATATCACTAGGTCAGTGGGTATGAACATTTTTTTTCCACTCATAATGCATACGTCCAAATGGCTTCTCAGGGGACTGCACCAATACACAGTGTTACTGGAGGTATCTTGCCAGCACCGGGTAGTATAATTGTATTTAATGTTTGCTAATTTAGCAGGCAAAGAATGAGACCTCATTATTTTGATTTGCATTTCCAGTGAGGCTTAGCGATCTTTTCCATAAGTTGCTTGCTTATTGTATTTTTTTATGCATGAATTTTGCCATTTCTCTATTGGGGTTTTCATATTTTCCTTTTCAATCTGTACAAACTCTGTACTGATTATAATGGCCCCTTTTCTATTACACTAGGCTAGCTATAGATATATCCCCCAGGCTCTTGTTTCCCTTCTGATTTAGTCTTTTTTCCTTTTAGATTTGAAAGCTTTAAAGTATTGTGTCATCAAAATCTGTCACTTTCGTGATTTTCTTTTATTTCTTCCAAGTTTAGAAAATTACCCTCTTATTTCTCAAGCAGACGTTTGCTAAATGTTCGATTCTGTTTGCAGGCAGATTTTTTAAGGTTTGATTTTTTTTTTTTTAAATGCCCTTTTAACTCGTCAATAATTTATCATGTTACTGGTTTATGGTAAGAATTTACATTCATTTTGCCCCAATTTACTAACGTTATCTCAATCATCACGTGTTGAATAATCTTCCCCATTAATTTATGATTCTTCTTTTGTCACCTAATTTTTATATAAATGGCAGAGCCTTCCTGTTTCCATCATGCAACTGCTAATACCACATCTTTTTAAGCGAATATCTATCTATCTATCTCTCTGTCTGTCTATCTATCTATCTATCTATCTATCTATTTTTTTATTTATTTCTAAAGAGAAAAAAATTTATTACAATATAAAATGCACTTATAAACTGTCCACAGAAGGCATGTAAGTTTTTACTGTTATGTAAGTTTATTGAGAATACTTTATTCACCTACTGTTGTTATATAAATATTTACTTAAAATGTATCTGATAGGGCTTATCCTACTTCATTGCATTTAAAAATTATTTTATGAAATTTTCTTTTTGATTCTCACCCACTTGAATGCAAAACAAAATCCTCTACAGACTTAGCGTTTCTCTGAGGACAGGAACCAAGTCTTTCTTAAGTGTTTCAGTGTCCCCAGAACAGTCCCAGCACGTAGAGACGACTAGTAAATATTTTTGAATGAAAGAATTCACCCTTTTGTGGAGCTCTTTTACTAAATTTCATGGTTTTAAGGCTTTAGCTGTCATTTTACTTGAAGAAACAAGTCAAAGCAAGGCCAGAGAAACTTTGCTTCCCTTCATTGAACCCCTGTCACATGCCTAGCAAAGTCCATCTCTCACCCTCCAGAGGTCCAGTGGAGGCAGTGTTACCATCCCCATTCTATTATTGTAGAATCTGAGGTTTGGAACAGTTTCATTGCTTGCATTTGAAAGGCCAGTAAGGGTCTGTGTTGGGCATCTTAGCTCAGATAGTAATTAAGCAGGTAAATCATAGGATACTGTCCAGTGCTGGCCTCAGACGCCCTGTGTCCTATCCCAGTGTGGCCTCGGCCACTTATGAAACCATCTGTGCCCATTTGTATATGTATACAGTATGAGGAGTACTTAAGGGTCTCTGTGAGTGCATCGTAAGACTTGTATGTGCTACTCACTCTTCGTATCTCATGCCTGTGAGCTGAGAATACGTGTCCTTTTTCCCTTTTCTTGAGATGTTCTTGGCTGTTATTATTTATAATAGCATTATCACCTTGAAGTCCTGTAGGATGTGTGTTTTGATGTATATGTGACAGTGTTTATTGTCTCCTTTTATAACTGAGGAGAACAGTTAAATCACTGATGTAGCTGAGGAGAGCTGTAAAATTGGAACTTGTCGGGGCACCTCACTCCATATCTGATACTTTCTTCCTCAGGCCTTGTCTTTGCCTTAAAGATTCCCTTGGCCTGTTTCAGAGTTTACGCTTTTATGAGTCATTTTCTTTTGAAGAGAAAGTGAGTACAGTGCTCTTTTACATTTTAAGGTAATGGGGCTTCTCTTTGGAAATAGGAAATCCAATCAATAAATATTTAGCAACTGCCGTGGGCAAGACTCTTGGCGTTCCCATTGGCACAGATTCCTGGATGTGTAGCATGATCACGTGGAAGTCAGATCTGGGCCCAGGCTCAGGTCGACCATTTACTAGCCACGTGACCTGGGGCAAGTCTTAGTCTCCCATGGCTCCATTTCTCTATCTTGAAACTAAACAAGAATTCCTGTCCAACAGAGTGGTAGTGAAGAGCAAATGAGAGAATGTTAAGAGGCCATTAAACTCCTTAACTTGCAGGTGTGGTTTCGCCGAGGTCTGCAGGAAAAGGCTATAAGTACGCCCACCCGGGACAAGGACTGTGGGACACCTGGAGGGGCCATCGTGGTGGGTGACAGGGACAAAGAGAGACGAGCCCATAGGATCTAAAGCTTCGTGCCCAGAGTCTCCAAGGGCTGAGCTAAGGTTTTCACCTTTTGAGTGTGTTCAGTGTAAGGTCAGAGGGGACAGAGAATGGAGGCCCCATGTGCTGCCTGGAGGTGACGTGTTCCGTCACAGCCTGGCAGGGCTTTATTTACAGAGTTGTTTGCCGCTGTCTCCTGCTGCTCCACTCTTTGCTTCCTGAGAGGCAGGAGCAGGACCGGTACTCACACAGCATGCCAGATGCCCTGGCACCCCACTTTGTGCACAGCCCAGCTCAGGTACCGTGGAAATATTTGTCCACTGAAATGGGGAATGAGGCTTAAATCATGTTTGTTGACTGAATGAGAGTGATGCTAGCTGATGACATTTTCAGTCTAGTTTATAAGCAACTTTGACTAAGAGACATGAGAGAAAGGGACCCTGATGGGGACAAGAAGGACCTGGAAAAAAACCCCAGCAATTTGGTTTGGGAGCCTGTAAGGGTTGAGATGCTTGTGGGAAGAGAGCTCACTTTACTGAGCACAGCATGGGCCAGACTCAATTAGCAAGGGCGCGTGTTGGGAACCACGTGCATTACAGTTTTCTTCAAATCATATTTGACTTCTAATTGATTCCAGGCACAAAAACATTTAAAATAAAACCTAAAAATTGTGTCTTTTAATATCTTAATAAGATCGAAAAGCCTTTATGTTGCTGGCAAAAAACCTCTTCGGAGATGACACTCGTATTCTGAGTGATGCCCTACGTAGTTCCTAGCTTAATCCCATCAGGTGAGCTTAGGGAGCAGGGAGATGGGGCAGAACACTCCCAGCCACTGGGCACAGCTCCTCCCTAAGCAGCGTTTGGGTTGTCTGTCAGCAGAGCTGTGTCATTCTTGGGTTAGGCCTGCACCTCTGACATTTTTTCTTCAAGTGGGCAGGAGTGTGAAAGTCTGGAACTCAGAGCTCATTCATTCACTGGACAAACTTATTTGTGCCTGCTTTCTGTCAGGGTTGGGGAGAGGGTGCCAAGAGAAAAGGCATGGACCCTGCTGCCATCAAGGAATTCATGACATGATATTTTTACTTAAGGGGCCCCCTAAAAGGAATGAGAGGGCTTTGTCCACCCCTCCTGGACCTCACATGTTTTAAGCAACAGGTAATATGATTTTCCCCTGACAGCTCTGGAGTATTTAAACGTGGAATGACCGGGCTCTACTGACAGGCCTGCAGTAACACCAGCCAGAACAGAAAGGCCGACCTTGCCTGCCTTGACCAGGGTCCTCAGTTCACTGGCGTCTGTCATCTGGCAAGGGTTTCCAAAGCAGACCAGTATTCTATTGTCAGTGTCATGAACATAGCTCGGAAATGAATGAATTCTCAGCAGAAGTCACAGAATTGTCCCTGTAGCCTTGCGACTCGCTAGCTTTTTTTGTTTCTCAGCAACCACGTTCAGCTCTGTCTTGCTTTGTAGTGCCAGCAGTATCTAGTACAGAATGTTCTTTGTTCAAACAATGTACTTGCTAATTAAACTCAGTTGCTTTGTCAGTGACTGTAAGCCAGGGGTTGATGTCATTGCCCTGGGATTTTAAGAATTTTTTTATTATGAAAATATTAAAATATTTTTTTGAAGTCGAGAGTACGGTATAACAAACACCCATGTATGCATCACCTAATTGTTAACATTTGCCACATTTCTTCATCTGTTTTATTGTTGAAGTACTTTAAAGTAAATTACAGACATCACATTTCACACCTAAATACTTCAGTATTTATTTCTTAGGAAATGACATTTTCCAACATGAACACCACATTGTTAGCACTGCTAATAAAAGTCATAGTAGTTTCTTGATGTCATCTAATCCAGTCCATGTTCACATTTGCTTAGTTTTTCCCTGGAAGTGTTTTATAGTTGCTCTGTTCAAAACAGGATTCAATCATAAAGCTTCATGTCGCATTTTTCTATTTTGCATTTTGGCATTTTACACTTTGAGTGTTTAAAAATCTAGAATGGTTTTATCTTCTCGACTTTTTGGATGTTTTTGTTCTTCATAGCATTGACTTGTAAGAGTTCTTGGATCTTTTGGTAGAGGTTATGAAGTTTTTCACAGATTCTTTTTGTGGTACAGCTCAATTTCTTTTTTTGCATTTATATTAGATTCTGTTAACCAGAGGTGTTTGTTTTTAATACATCATCGTCAAACTAGCTTCAGCGGCTTAGGAATTGATTTGGATCTGACCTTAGCCAGTAGTGTTGACTGGACAAAACATTCCTTATATTCATTTCTTTTTAATCTCAAGTAAAATTTTTCTGGATTTATACAGAATTTATTGGCCTAAAATGAGTGCAAAATAATACAAGTGGGCTTTGAATATCGGCCATGTTTAAGGCTGAGAAAAACCTTAATAACCATTCTTCATGTTCAGTTTGCAGAGAAATTCCAAGAGGTGAAAGAAGCTGCCAAACTAGCCAGAGACAAGTCACAGGAGAAAATCGAGACCTCGAGTAATCACTCTCAAGTGAGTCATTTGTCTATAAAATAAATCCAAGTGTGACCAGTGATTGAGACTCTTCCTTGTCACTTTTGACAGGAAAGAGGGAATTTGGCAGCAGGGTGTTCTGGAGGCTTATCAGCTATGAGCCTGCTGACACTGAGTTGGATAGGACGTGTGTTTATGAGGATCCTAAATTTATCAGGATGTGGTGATGTATTTTTGATGGGAAATGGTTGATGAGATTAGGGCGATGCGTATCCCTGGCCCCTAAGAGACGATCTCTGGTCACCATGTTTAAACACCTGTGGCAAGGCAGGCATTTCCCTTCCATGTTGGGAGGTGGGGTCTACATGAACGATGCTTGTTGACAAGTGCAGGTACCTTGTTCCTGTGAGGGAGAAAACTTGATCATTGCCAAAGAGCCTTCATGTCTGTCTCCCTATTTTAACAAAACTCAGGTGGGAGATGGAATTCCAACAGGTCTGGTTTAGCCAAAGGACATGTGGCTTTGTCAGGAATTGAGTAGTCTGTCTACTTAATAGTGTGATGATGGACTAAAAGAGACCTCTTTTAACCAGAAATAAAGATGCCTGCATTCCTGATGTCTAGATTGGTATATGTAGTGGTGGGTGGACGGGTTGACCTAGCAACAAGGTTATATGTAGAGAGACAGGGAAAGGGAGAATCAGGAGTGAAGATTTGGGGCTAGGGATAAGCATGTCATAGCAGCAGGACAGCCAGGGGCCGAGGTGTGCTGTGGGAGGGAGAGGTGTGCTTGGAGATACTGGGAAAGACCTGGACTTCTTCACTAGCAGATCGTTTACTCGTTTCTATTTATTTATCATCAGGTAGTTGGCAGATATTGCAGGTGTTTGTGACTGTTGATCTGAATTGACATGAGGATTCCCTGTGGATGATAAGGAAGTTAGGGTGAGACAGAGAAGGTCAGTGGAAGGCTGTGGGGTAGAGAATGGCCGGGCCAGGGCAGCCACAGAGGAAGGAATGGCTGTTGGGGACAGCTCACAGAAGAGAGGCAGAAGGCCTAGGCTCCTTGAGCAGTCAAGATCGACACTCTGGGCTTGTCAGTCAGCCTCGCAGAGGCAATGGCCGAAGCCGCGGCTGCACCAGAAGCAGTGCGGAAAGGGACCCGCTATGGGAAGGGAGCCAGCAAAGAAGGCAGAGAAGTCCCACTGTCACCGCACCCCAGGAAGGAGACCACTCAGCATGTCAGTGCTGCAGAGAGGACGGGAGAGAATGCCAGGGGGTGGGGGGCCCTGGGTTTGTCAGCCTCTGTGGCTGACTCTTAGGACAGGAAATTTGCTGGCTCGGGTTTTTTCTTGAAGGCAGAACCTGTATCTGTCTTGAGTTATAGTCCCAGCGCCTTGTCCTGGATTCATATAAAAGATGCCCCGTTTGGGTTTATGGAAAT